CCGCTCCCCCCTGCCCCATCGTCGCCCACGAGTGTGCTCGGACCTGGGGCCGAGGATGGGCCCGGCTAGGATCGGTGAGGTGGCCTGTGGAGCGACGCCTTTGATTAAAGCTGTGCGCGGCCCGCTTAGCGAAGAGGTGCGCTCTCGACCCGCGGATCAAAAAAGTGGAGCGACGCCAAAAGAGAGGGGTGGTCTTCGCCGACCTTGGCGCGCAAGCTGCCCGCGTGAGCTCGCGCGCAGGCGTCCGCGCTTCAGGCGCCCGCGTGCCGCGGTGGCGGCCCGCGTAAGCCGCCGCGTAAGGGCACCACAGTCAGCCCGCACAGCACGGCGGAGCAGCTTTCCAAGGTTGCACTTGCGCCCTTGCCCCTTCGCCCCGTCCCTGGCAGCTTTCGCTGGCCAGCCACGCTCGAGAAGCGTCAAAGCGGCCTTCCAAGGCCCTTGCGTCCGTACCGCGCATCATTAGTGTGTACATGATTACGGGATGTGTGTATGTCATCTCGCGCCAGATCCGTCTTTGATCGTCGCTCCGAGGGCGCCGCGGCCCCCGGGCCGCCCCTCCCTGGCACCGCTGCACCGCGCGGCGGAGGACGCGCAAAGGGGGGGGCGATGAATGGGGGGGCAGCCAGGCTGCAGAAAAAGGGCCCTTTCGGGCCCAAGAGGGGGCTTCTGGGGCCCGAGCAGCGCAACTCTCTCCCCCCCTGATCATCGCCCCCCCCATTTATCACCCCCCCTGATCATCGCCCCCACATGAATCGCCCGAAGAGTACACCCATCTATCGCCCCCCCCTCTTGTCGCCCCCCCTCAAGCGACGCCCAAACTGCTGCACGAGCCGCGCGGCGCGCGCCGCCGCAGGCAGTCACGCCCGAGGCCGGGAGCCAGGACGAGGGCGGGGAGCCGCGACTTCAGGCCGCCGGCGACCGCTCGCTGTCGGCCCTCCTCGAGGAGTCGGGGGCAATGTTGCGGTCGGGAGCTTTTGCATGGCGTGTCGCGAAAAGGAGGAGGAGGAGGAGGAGGAGGAGGAGGAGGAGGAGGAGGAGGAGGAGGAGGAGGAGGAGGAGGAGGTCGAGGAGGAGGAGGAGGAGAACGTTGAGGATGAGGAGGATGATGGTGAGGAGGAGGAGGCGGAGGAGGAGAAAGAGGAACTTTTGGGGCCCGGGCGTCAGTGTCTCGAGCTCTTCCCAGCCCCGCGCCCCGCGGAGCGGAGCGACGCGCCGCCAACTCGCGCGGCACAACGCGTGCCGCCGGGGCGCGACACCGCGACGCGCGACACGCGACACGCGACACGCGAAGCGCAGAAGGTCTCCCGACCGTCGGGGGCGACAGGCTCAGGAGGGGATGCGCCGACCTCCAGTCGCCCACTGATCGCCGATAGTCAAGGGGGCCTGCTACGGTCAGGCGATCGCGAGCATGGATGAATGGGGGCGTGGATTAGCGACGGGTCCCGTTTCTGTGAGAAATCGCGGATTTCAGCCGCCGAACGAGGCGGCACTGGCCGCATTTTGGGGAGGGCACCTCCCCCGATCCATGGATTTGGCGACCGCGCGCCAAATCCATGGATCGCTAATCCATATTTGCGCGCCCCGGATACAGTGGAGGCTCATGCCAAGAAGCACCCCGCTTGCCTCCAGGGTGCCCTGGGTTTCTTGGGCTTCGATGGTTTTGCGATGGAGAGCGCGACGCTCCCATGCCAAAAATCAATGGACGTCCTGGGGTCTCAGGGTTGGGTTTCTTGTGAAAGGTTTTCTTGTGGTCTGGCCTCCACTGTAGTTAGGGGGCCTGATAGCCCACCCCGTCTCGGGGGCGCGCGGATGTGACGCATCGGCTGTTCCGTATCGTCGGTGTCCCCCCCCTGAGCTGGTTCCATTTCCTGGCGTCCCCCCCTGGAGGAGGCGGACCGGGCGTCGCCGTTGCAGGCTGGCGGCGCGCAGAGCCCCGATCTCCGACGGTATGTGCTCTCCAGTCCTGGTGTTTTTTCTTTCTATTTCGGCGCCGCGTCTTGGAAAGAGCGTGTTTCTTAATTTCTTGGGGGGTATAATGGGCATTATACCCCCAGCCCTCGCCCCCCCTCTCCCCCCCTATAAGGTAACGCCCCTTCCCCCCCAGTGCGCTCCGGGCACTGCCGCCGTGCGCATCGGGCACACGGCGGGGGGGAGGCGGTACCTTATACCCCCCCTGGCCTCCCTTCCCCCCTTGTAATGCTCGTTATCGCCGAAAAAAAGACACGCGCTCAACGATCAGGGCGCAGGGTTCTCCTCGCTCTCGGCCCCCAGAGGCCCCCTGCTGGGCCCCGAGGCCGTCGAACAACTGCTCGGCATGAGCGGAGCACTCGGGCCCTGGGGAAGATGTCGGGGCACCTGGGCATCCCGTGCTGACCAGACAAGCGGCACGGGTGCTCTGGCTCTTGCACACTTGCGGAGAGAAGGAGGAGGGGGTGCAGGTGGGGGGATCGAGGAGATAAGGAGGAGGAGGAGGAGGAGGAGGAGGAGGAGGAGGAGGAGG